ATCAAGATACCCAGGACTTGAGGATGATTGTAGGACAGACATCCAACACATTACCAGGGAATGCATCAAAGCTGTGTGCAATGCCATCACTGAGGGATCTCCATTTATGGAAACCATGTGCATGTCAGCTGAGGTCTTAGATGATACCGACATTGGACAAGACTTCGGAGAATACACACCCACACAGATGAGGAAACTACAGAGTGAGGACGGAGCAATTGGTGACATATTGCCCTATGTCAGGAATCATCAGAGGCCAACAAGGTTTATGGATAATTGTAATGAGTTCAAGGTCTATGCAAAGAAATTTTACAACTTAACTCTCTCCAGAGGGGTCCTATACAAGAAGACTCAAGATGATACACTTCAGTTAGTATTGCCCTTGTCATTGAGACGGAGGGTGCTTCAGGCCTTACACAATGACATAGGACACCCTGGGCATGATAGGACGACGTCAAGCATACAGGATCGATTCTATTGGCCTGGAATGTGCAAGGACATAGAGGAATGGGTGAAGCTGTGCGATCGCTGTACCAGAGCCAAGACACCAGCAAGAACCCGAGCCCCACTTGTCAGCATACAAACATCACAGCCAATGGAACTTGTGTGTATTGACTTTCTTACACTAGAACCAGCCAAAGGAAATTATCAATATCTTTTAGTGATAACCGATCACTTCACTAAATATGCACAAGCCATACCTACTCGGAATATGTCGGCTCATACTACTGCAGATGCTCTTTACCATAACTTCTTCATCCATTATGGGATGCCCAAGCGAATCCACTCCGACCAGGGAGCTAACTTTGAAGGAGATCTCATAAAGGAGTTATGTCTGCTATTAGGAATAGAGAAGTCGAGGACAAGTCCTTATCATCCGCAAGGAAATGGTTTGTGTGAGAGGTTTAACAGAACTTTGCTTGACATGCTTCGCACATTGAATCCAGACCAAAAGAAAGATTGGAAGTCATTTATTGGACCCTTCACTAATGCATACAACTGCACTAGGCACGAGACAACAGGGTATTCACCATACTACCTGATGTTCGGTCGACACCCCAGACTACCAGTTGATGTTGCTTTTGGCGTTAGGGAGCAGGATGAAGACTCTGATCAACCCTCATATTCTGCATATGTTGAGGAGTTACGTGAACGTTTGAAGCAAGCATATCATTTGGCTTCATTGAATGCTGATCAAGCACAAAGGAAACAGAAAGTGGTGTATGATGTACGAGTACGTGGTGCCACCTTGGAGCCAGGAGACAGAGTACTTGTCAAAGTACTTGCATTCAAAGGCCGGCACAAGATTGCTGACCCATGGGAGAGTGAAATTTATATAGTGGAAAGTCAGCCAATCAATGATATTCCAGTATATATCATTCAACGGGAGGATGGTACTGGAAGAAAAAGAACCATGCACAGAAACCATCTTCTTCCAGTTGGATATTTGACGCCAGATTCCAGGAGCATGGATGATAAAGCACCTACAAGGCCTAAACCTGCGCCAAGGCATAGGAAGCCTAAACCAAAACAAACAGTGAGTGAGGATGTGGAGGTGGAGCCCGAAGATCAAAGTGATACTTCATCAGTGGTAGTCCATGTTTCCACACCGGAAGAAGAATCTGTTACAGTTACAGATATTTCAGTTCAGCAGGATGATGGTCCACATACAGCTGACTGGGATGATGAGGTTGATGACGATCCACCCCAAGACGTTGAGGGTGAGCAACCTCGGGAGCCAGAGACTGAGCTCAGGAGGTCGGAGCGTGTTAGAGCTCCACCCAAGTGGTTCACCTCAGGTGAGTTTGTCATGTCAGGCCAGGAGCCTGATTGGCTGCGTAGAGTCAGATACTTGTTGACACTAGCTAATTCAAAAGAATTTTTAAATCTCTCTCCACAGATGACAGAAGCAGTAGTGTCTCTTGTCACCAAGAAAAACTGACGAGGACGTCATCTTATTTGCAGGGGGAGTATGTGGCAGTGTCAATTTTACTTTTATCTATTTATATATATTTTTATAAATGTACTTGTCCAACCGTTTTGTTTTGTCAGTGTATGTTCTAAGAATTTCTCACCTGTGTTTTGTTATGTAAATGTCTTGTCACGTGATTACATGCTTGTTCGTGCACCTGTATGTTCTGTATCGTTATTCACGCGCTGGACAGAGACATGGACAGTCGCAATGATATGTAGATACGTACGGACGACTGTGGTGGCAAAAATACATTTTAAAATAGTAAGTATTTGAAATATCATTTAATTATTTTAAACGATAATGTTAGTTAACTTTTACAGAATTAGTATTTTCGTATTTATTGAAATATTTGAAGAAATTGAAATGTCTCTTTGTGGTTTTTTCATTATTCCTTTTGTAATGGGTATAATAATTTTTGCAGAATTATCTTAAAGAAATTTATTACAAATATAGTTAATTACGTTTTGTTGTTTTTCTTTCAACAGAACCATAGATCATTTTATTGTAAAAAAGGATGTTATCTCTTGAGACCCCTGTCAGATTGATAGGGTAGGTATATTATGTATATATATTATTTAACTATTAACTACATCTGTGTAATACAAATGGTAAATCCTATAGTTTATCATGTGTTGGCATTGGATATATATATTTTGATGAATTCGTAAAGTTTAGTGTAACCGTTACGGGAAATATAAATATGTGTAAAAAGTAAAGTTGACTCCATGTCCAGTGTATAACATACAGTGCGTAGTTTGTAATATGTCTTATACACGAACTTATGTTTTATTTGTGTTATTGTAGGGTCTTTTGGTGCGTCTAAATAAACGTATGAAAGGAATGAATCCAGCGTTATTTTATAAAACACTGTAGCATTGGAACCCGGCTACAATATCATTATATACATGATGTATACGATATAATGTTACATCATATATTGTAACACGTGTAACACGTTGAGTGCCCAAGTCTTTTTGCGCCCTCTGGCGATTCAATTGACAACGTTAATTATTAATTAGTGTGTAGTCCATCATTTCAGAAACAAACGCTGGTTACAGCTACCAGTTATGTACTTACATGCCTTTCTGCTGTTAACATACATCGTACCTGTCCGCTTGCAATGAAAAATGAATGAAAAATTAATTTCAGATTTCGGATTTCAGCCATTGAGAATATTAAAAACAAATAAATTCAGAAAAATATTTCATAACATCATTATATCGATCAATATTTACAGATCATTTACGTCAATATATCGATCAATATTTACAGATCATTTACAGCATTATATCGATCAATATTTACAGATAATTTACGTCAATATATCGATCAATATTTACAGATCATTTACGTCATTATATCGATCAATATTTACAGATCATTTACGTCAATATATCGATCAATATTTACAGATCATTTACAGCATTATATCGATCAATATTTACAGATCATTTACATCATTATATCGATCAATATTTACAGATAATTTACTCAATATTTACAGATCATTTACATCAATATATCGATCAATATTTACAGATCATTTACATGAACAGTTTTAGAACTCGATAGGAAAAAATGGTTTTTACTTTTTTAATTCATGGAAAAGACAATGGAAAAATTCTTGGAAAAAATGAAATATTGAATATATAATATTATCAAAATGTTTTCATTTATCTATAGTTTGAAAAATAACTTCTCATTATTATTACCATGAATTCATTTTTCTCGTAATTTCGATAAAGTCTTGATATCATGATAATACTTCAGATAGGACTGAAAGTCAAACCTACATCAGCATATTGTACGATGACAAAAAGACATGTTCCTTGAATTGACACGTCCTCGGTTATATAAACAACTTGTACTCCCTGATAGTGTAAGGGAAGCAATAATTCCATTAGGCTTATTGTCTCGGCACCTGTTACATAAGATCCCCAGACAGGGCTAGTAACATAAGTCACCTAACTACCCTCGGCGGGACCAGTAACATAGGTCCCCCTAACTACTCTCGACGGGGCTCGTAACATAGGTCCCCCTAACTACCTTCGACGGAGCTAGTAACATAGGTTCCCCTAACTACCAACGGCGGGACCAGTAACATAGGTCCCCCTAACTACTCCCAACGGGGCCAGTAACATAAGTCCCCATAACTACCCCCGGCGGGACCAGTAACATAGGTCACCCTAACTACCACGGCGGGACCAGTAACATAGGTCCCCCTAACTACCCCTGGCGGGACCAGTAACATAGGTCACCCAACTACCCCCGACGGGGCCTGTAACATAAGTCCCCCTAACTACCCTCTACGGGGCCAGTAACAGAAGTCCCTCATATTAACCTGGACTGAAATCGCCTGTATTTTGATGACAATAAATTGAAGCCTTATTAATATGTGCATTGTGTTATGCTCGTATACACTGGCATAGTGAAGGAACTCCATTGAAGTCAGATATTATCTAAATTCCGATGAATCAGGAGACACTATGCGATGGCCATTTTGTTTTGTCAGAAAACAGGAGTTACGGCATTGTTCAATGTGTAAAAAATACCTACATGACAAATTATCTTCAACATAAACCTGCGTTTTTAAAAATTTCCGCCAGTTAGAAACCTCTTCCTGGCTCCGACCATTTTGTGGGAAACGCCTACTTTAGATAATGTCGTGTTGCCATCGATTCAATAAATAATGTTCAAAATAGAGTAAACTAAATCAATTTATTTGCTTTCGAATTAAACATCTTAATAATTTGTTTTACCTCTTCTTGTCAAAATCATTTTCCCAAAATATACGCTTTATAATAACGGAAATGTTGAGTAAAAAGAGAAATTAAGTGAAATAAAATATATATAGAAAGAAAGAAAAACCCTTTCATTGTCGAGACTTCCCATGTAATTATTTGCGTATGTTATCAGACGATTGAACGGAAGATAAGAATGATCGCTTATATTTTAAGTAAGTATTCTGATAATTTGAATGCAAATGTATATTCATTCCAAGTATGGTGTTTTCTCTCGTTGACAGTGTCCCTTCAGTCACTCAACGAAAGGATAGAACGAGACACTGCTTGTTTTGGAACTGGGGACCAATCTCTTATTGACGCGAACTGTTCCTCGACAGAAAACTTATATCCTATTGGTTTGTACGCTGGTGCTAAGCTCAGTACTAGTGTGTGTCCGCTAGAAATGGAGTCTAACGCTACAGATGGGCTGGTCCAGCAGTGTTGTATCCCTGCCACGAACCAGGACTGTGTTGCTCTAGTGAATACATATGTACCCGCCATAGCCTCGGACTACTTGGAAACCTGTGTCGGTAGAACGGCGTGTTTAAGGCGCCAAGCATCTCGAATGGACGTTCTCAGTATCATCGAGTGTAATTCAACTGTCTACCCTAGTCAGACACATTACATGTACCTCGACTATCAGTGTGTTCCAGGTTAGTTTCACGTTCTGAAAGGCACGAACTGATAATGATGGTAATATTCACAATGATCTTATATACTTTCTCACACGATGGTTTACATTGTATAGTCCATGGTAATCGAACCATTCGCTATTCACATTAAATTAGTTGTTATTAGGCGTTTACGGCTTGTATAAAACATTGTCGTCATTGTCCAACCACTTAATAGCAACAGAGTAAACTGGAGAAAGCAGAGTAAACTATCTTGTTCCAGATAGATCGCTTTGCCACTGTTCCAAGGAGATCGATTTGCCACTGTTCCAGGGAGATCGATTTGCCACTGTTCCAGGGAGATCGATTTGTCACTGTTCCAGGGAGATCGATTTGTCACTGTTCCAGCTCTATTTATAAGTTTTACAAATACATTCCAATGTCTCTTATTGGTTCCGAATCTTAATTAAAAATAAAAAGCGATTAATCAGGGGTAAAATACGAAAAAAAAAACACGATTTATACAGGTGTGACATCTGCTTTACGTTGTGATATGACATTGTATTTTTTAGAATCAAAAATTGGTCGCTTTCCGTCCGTCGATCTGACCAATGACGGAGCCGGGTCACTTCTATATCTTCAGGGCAGTACTTATCCCTTCCTGACGTCATCCACATCAATGACATGTTCTGTTGAAACAGACTGCTTGTCGACGGTTGAGATATATGGTCTTCACGTGAACTTTCAACAAGACAATGGGACTTGCAACCAAGCTCTGATGATTAACGACACAAGCGGTACGCTGTATACTATTGACTGTGCCGACAATGCTGATAATGCTAGTTACAAACTCCGAAGCTTAGCAAACAGTTATGACAACTACATAGAAGTCTTCTACAGCAGTCTCTATGCCAACCAAGGCCTTTTCTGGTTGGCATTTAAGGGTATGTACACGCGTCAATGTTGCTGCATAGAAATCTATTTATAGTATATTCATAATTAACGAAGATGTAAGGGAAATAGCTAAGTTATATTCCAATGTGCAGAATTTTGCCTTGAATGAAAATTCTTTGCCGGGGTTCTAGCAAAAATTCTACAACGAGGTTTAACGTGACGCTACCCAAAATGGAACATTTTAAAGGAAAGTTGTGAAAATTTTCTACTGAGTGTTTGAATTCCGTGTTTTTGCTTGGTATTTCACACACAGATACCTGCTATTTTCATTGCATGATTTGGTTTCATGTCAACAACACTCGTGTCTATAAATAAAATGCAGCATCTACTGCCAGGATCAGCAATGAGTTTCAGCAGGTCGGGGTATCCAAAATGTAATGCCTCTCATATTCTGCTCACTTATTGAAATGACTGACATAATATTGAATATTTTTTCATTTTATAAAAGTTCACTAACTTTCTAATAAATCTCAGTCAGTTATCTATCAAACTCCTTATTTGCAGCAGTACTTTACCTACTGTATATACAAATTAATAGATCAATTACGATATGATCCTATTGCAATTATCAGTTTTTACTTCAAACTGGCTAATTTGATTTATTCTTAAACGGTAGTTCATTTCAAAACTGAAATTTACTTTTATTTGTCATTTTCAATCATTTAACTACTTTGACAGTTACTGGCAATTTAACAATTAATTGCCCTCGAAAAGATCCAATCAACGAATGTTTAACTACTACACCGATAACAACAACAACAACAACAACAACAACAACAACAACAACAACAACAACAACAACAACAACAACAACAGAAAGCACCACAACAACACCGGAAACATCGACCACAACAACACCGGAAATCACAACCACAACAACACCGGAAATCACCACCACAACAACATTGGAAATCACCACCACAACAACACCGGAAATCACCACCACAACAACACCGGAAACTACTGAAAAAACAGCAACAGCAAACGTCACGACTGGTATAAAACCACCTTCGACAGAGGCGTCTACCGCTGATACAGGTGAGAACAGTCCTTCGTCATTCGTCTAAAAACAGACATCTATTATCATCTTTTATTACATAATAATATTTCACAACGATATAAAAATCTAATAACAGTGTTTTGTCGCTACAAATTTAAGGCAGACTAATAAGAAAATTTTATACTCCATAACATACCTGTTATTGTATTAACTTCTACTGTCTTACAGATTCTACAATGGTAATCATCATCGTCGTCGTCATCGTCATTGTCCTTTTGTTAATCTGTGCCGCGGTATTAATCATCAGATGGTATAAGGTAAGGCCACTATATGGTTGTGTGGGAGTGATCAGTTACTGAATATCTATGTAGTTTATATTCCATATCTTGTATGTTTAGTTCTCCACAATTGTACATTGAGCTAACACAAATTACACACTGCAAACGTGGCGTCCTTTAGAGTGACTAGCGTACCCGCTTTAACTCTTTATATGTTTGTTTTGTAAGATGTAATTAATATAATTCTATGATCGTGGATTTCTAATTTTTCTGATCTTAACGATAATTTATAAAAAATATTCATATCATGGTAATCAAATGTTTGTACAACATAGCCATAATGTCACAATGCTAGCATGAAACACGTGATTAATTCTGTTAGAACCTGAGTATCACGTGATTGAGGTAGTTACCCGATTAGCAAGGATATCATACCCATTAAATGTAACATTATATAAGCCCTACAGATGATGTCACTTCAAGGGAATCTTATTGTGTCATTTAACTGGAATTGACTGACACCATCCCGGTTAACTTATTGTAAAACGAAAATAAAAAGACAAAAGAAGTCTTGTGGGTACGTAAAATATGGTTTCACTAATTTCCCCAAAGCATGACAAAATAAGGAAAATGCTGTAATGGACTCGTCTCTCTCTTTTCTCTAATATCAATTTTTGATATTGCATAAATTTTCTCAACAGAAAAATAAAAATGCACGTGATAATGAGACAGAAGAGGATGAAAAGGATATGGAACTGGGACAGGATAATGAGTGTACTGTTATAACATCAGACATACAGGTACGTGTTCTTGATGGTATCAGTACATAGGCTTCATACACTAGAAAGTCATCTTGATTGTGTTTCTTGGTATTGGTAATTTTATTAACGATGATTCCATTGTGAAAACACGTCATTATATAAAACGGACATACGTTATGAGATTGACCTCTTTATGAATTCGCAACAGACTGTGGTATTGATCGGAGTGGCCTATGCGGCCGGAGTTCGACTCCCTATCGGCAGTGAAAAGGTTTTAGTAATATAGATTCAGTTTATCTTGACTATTAGTTTGATGTGTGTTTCCTTCTCTTTAGAATCAAGCGGAAATTACCCCTGAGACAGATATGAAATCGCAAAATTTTACAACGATAAATGATATCCAGACCTACCAGAATATCGGCCTGGTGATGCAAACAAAACTGCCATCTTTAACTTTGACAACTGACGAAGGCCACCAGTCATCTGCGTTGAAGAGTAAGACGTTTACAGACAGTAGCTTTAAATTGCAAGACGATGAAATCAAACAAAATGCGGCAAATACAGCAGAAGGAGATGGTCAAAAAAAACGAAAAAAGAAGAAAAAGAGAAAGACGAAACCATGCACAGAAAACCTAGACGATGCACCTCAATCCAACCCAGTGAATATTCTGTCAACAGAAGAAACTGGTCGAGAAAAACGGAAGAAGAAAAAGAAAAAACGAAAAGAATCTGGAAATCAGATTGCACCAGATTTTTATCCTATTACTAATGTTATGGCATGCGAACAGGAGACTGCACTCTCATATCACGTGGACGACCAGCAGGACCAGGATAATCAACCGAATGAAAAGAAAACTCGAAAGAAGAAAAGAACGAAACGAAAAAAGAAAGATGTTGTTGAAAATGACATTGAAGAAAGCATTGATATTAAGGAAAATATTGGTGGTGATCAAGCATCAGTAATTTATGATTAGCTGAATAGAATATATCGCCACCACCATTACCTTAAATTTTAAACCGTTATATAGCACTGGGTGAGGACAATTTTTCCATCATGTCAATATATTACATTTACTTATGACAGAAGAAAACTAGATATAACTTGATCCAAGTTTTAACTACACGAATACCAATGTGTGTCTAAATATTATCAAACGTTTCCGTTAGTTGTTTTTTACTGTTTTACAAATTCTAATTCAGCTTTTTAAAATACATGTGCTATCCGGTAACTGCACAATCACACGAAAAGAGCCATTATCCGCTTATCAGCCTTACGACATGTGATGTTATTGTACCCAACCTTACGACACGTGATGTTATTGTACCCAACCTTATGACACGTGATGTTATTGTACCCAACCTTAAGACACGTGATGTTATTGTACCCAACCTTACGACATGTGATGTTATTGTACCCAACCTTACGACACGTGATGTTATTGTACCCAACCTTACGACACGTGATGTTATTGTACCTAGTTACGACATGTGATGTTGTTACATCTATTCTCCCTTAAACCCTATTCCGTCCCACATGTGGTGCTTCTGCTGTTTGTTGATAATTATTTATAATGTAATCCTTGTGTCTGAAGTACAGGAAGGAGTTAGGTCGTGTGTTTAGAAATATAACATAAACTGTTTTACTTCCGCTTGTGTGTTATTTGTAATAAACATTATTATGTGTTTTATTTACTCTGGGTATTGATTTTCATTGCTGCTTTTCGCTTCACTGTCACGTGTTTCACTTACCTTCATCAGATCATGTAAGTAATAAAATAAACACTCAACTCATTAGTGAAATTCATATTACGTCATTTTTAACAAGTGTAGTAGGAAACTGTACTCAAAAACATCGGAGGAGGAAGAAGTGAAATGGAAATTCCAGCATGTAGGATAATGGGTTGATATAGTCGTAACCTATACGTACACGATTTGCCCCCATGCTTGAGTGATAGTGACTTTCCTCCTATAAAACATATTTACGAGGGTATACGTATCACTTAAAACCAAGACAGATGTGTATAAGCTGACTTGTATCAATTTTGTTGGCAGAGTGATATTTTAGGATTTTTCCTGGTTTTCAGTGTTATACACAACAAATGGCACCAAATGTACAGTGTATGTACATTTAATATTGAACAACGACATCAGTATGTCATGTTAATGTGAGATGTACAATTAGTTTCCCCGTTAGGGACAAATGATTACCTTGTAGTGTCGGTATGTATTTATGGCCTGGCAAACGCTTTATGCACAACCCGATAATGAGATGTTATAGATGCACAAAAACAAATTTAGGGAGAGGTTAAAATGCAGATTTAAGGTAGGTAGACAAAATGTAAATATCAGGCACAAATAAAAAGTGAGCCGGATGATGCTCTGTAAGTCCGGATCACTAAACACCAAGTCAGGGTAATTTTATTCTCGTGATTGTCTGAATGTTCAAGATTTGCAGTAGATTTATCTTACATCACAACCATAGGGCTTAAACAAACTGGACATTGATAAAAAGGAAGAAAGGCCTTGAAAATGATATAATAAGTTTGATTGGTTAAAACATCGTAAAGACGATTTAGATTCATTGTGCCTGACAGTCTTCGATTTTTCTAAAATGAGCATATTACGACAATCGACATTTATCTACATCTACAATAATAGGTTGACTATATTACGTTCCACAAGCGAGACGAGTCTCCAGTGATGGAGACGATAGATTACAGAATGAAAAATTTGGTATGTATCACACTTGACTTTGAACAAGTTGAGTCACCATCAATATAGAAAGCTCAAATTTACATTATTTGTCTCAAGTATCAATAGAATAAAACTGGGAAATAAAAAAAGATACCATAATATAAATATCTAAAAAAAAACTAGACACATATTGTAGTAAAAATAGATAAATGAAAAATAAACGTTACGAAAAATAAAATAGGAGGTTTTATAGATTCCACAAAAAATGCACCCGTTTTACTTCGTTTACTACGTTAACGATGGAATGCTAATCACTATTAGGATACTCTTATAATGAATGGTGACGTTTACGATGGAATGTTAATCACTATTAGGATACTATTATAATGAATGGTGACGTTTACGATGGAATGCTAATCACTATTATAATGAATGGTGACGTTTACGATGGAATGCTAATCACTATTAGGATACTATTATAATGAATGGTGACGTTTACGATGGAATGCTAATCACTATTATAATGAATGGTGAAGTTTACGATGGAATGCTAATCACTATTAGGATACTATTATAATGAATGGTGAAGTTTACGATGGAATGCTAATCACTATTATAATGAATGGTGACGTTTACGATGGAATGTTAATCACTATTATAATGAATGGTGACGTTTACGATGGAATGTTAATCACTATTAGGATACTATTATAATGAATGGTGAAGTTTACGATGGAATGCTAATCACTATTATAATGAATGGTGAAGTTTACGATGGAATGTTAATCACTATTATAATGAATGGTGACGTTTACGATGGAATGCTAATCACTATAATGAATACGTTTACGATGAATGGTGATTAGTTTACGATGGAATGCTAATCACTATTATAATGAATGGTGACGTTTACGATGGAATGCTAATCACTATTATAATGAATGGTGAAGTTTACGATGGAATGCTTATCACTATTATAATGAATGGTGACGTTTACGATGGAATGCTAATCACTATTAGGATACTATTATAATGAATGGTGAAGTTTACGATGGAATGCTAATCACTATTATAATGAATGGTGACGTTTACGATGGAATGCTAATCACTATTAGGATACTATTATAATGAATGGTGACGTTTACGATGGAATGCTTATCACTATTAGGATACTATTATAATGAATGGTGACGTTTACGATGGAATGCTAATCACTATTATAATGAATGGTGACGTTTACGATGGAATGCTTATCACTATTAGGATACTATTATAATAAATGGTGACGTTTACGATGGAATGCTTATCACTATTAGGATACTATTATAATGAATGGTGACGTTTACGATGGAATGCTAATCACTATTAGGATACTATTATAATGAATGGTGAAGTTTACGATGGAATGCTAATCACTATTAGGATACTATTATAATGAATGGTGACGTTTACGATGGAATGCTAATCACTATTAGGATACTATTATAATGAATGGTGACGTTTACGATGGAATGCTAATCACTATTAGGATACTATTATAATGAATGGTGACGTTTACGATGGAATGCTAATCACTATTAGGATACTATTATAATGAATGGTGACGTTTACGATGGAATGCTAATCACTATTAGGATACTATTATAATGAATGGTGACGTTTACGATGGAATGCTAATCACTATTAGGATACTATTATAATGAATGGTGACGTTTACGATGGAATGCTAATCACTATTAGGATACTATTATAATGAATGGTGACGTTTACGATGGAATGCTAATCACTATTATAATGAATGGTGAAGTTTACGATGGAATGCTTATCACTATTAGGATACTATTATAATGAATGGTGAAGTTTACGATGGAATGCTAATCACTATTAGGATACTATTATAATGAATGGTGAAGTTTACGATGGAATGCTAATCACTATTAGGATACTATTATAATGAATGGTGACGTTTACGATGGAATGCTAATCACTATTATAATGAATGGTGACGTTTACGATGGAATGCTAATCACTATTAGGATAATGGTGATTATAATGAATGAATGGTGACGTTTACGATGGAATGCTAATCACTATTAGGATACTATTATAATGAATGGTGACGTTTACGATGGAATGCTAATCACTATTATAATGAATGGTGACGTTTACGATGGAATGCTAATCACTATTAGGATAATTATAATGAATGGTGACGTTTACGATGGAATGCTAATCACTATTAGGACTATTATAATGAATGGTGACGTTTACGATGGAATGCTAATCACTATTAGGATAATTATAATGAATGGTGACGTTTACGATGGAATGCTAATCACTATTATAATGAATGGTGAAGTTTACGATGGAATGTTAATCACTATTATAATGAATGGTGAAGTTTACGATGGAATGCTAATCACTATTAGGATACTATAATAATGAATGGTGAAGTTTACGATGGAATGTTAATCACTATTATAATGAATGGTGACGTTTACGATGGAATGTTAATCACTATTATAATGAATGGTGAAGTTTACGATGGAATGCTAATCACTATTAGGATACTATTATAATGAATGGTGACGTTTACGATGGAATGCTAATCACTATTAGGATACTATTATAATGAATGGTGACGTTTACGATGGAATGCTAATCACTATTATAATGAATGGTGACGTTTACGATGGAATGCTAATCACTATTATAATGAATCACTATGAATGGTGACGTTTACGATGGAATGCTAATCACTAATGCTATAATTATAATGAATGGTGACGTTTACGATGGAATGCTAATCACTATTATAATGAATGGTGACGTTTACGATGGAATGCTAATCACTATTATAATGAATGGTGACGTTTACGATGGAATGCTAATCACTATTATAATGAATGGTGACGTTTACGATGGAATGCTAATCACTATTATAATGAATGGTGAAGTTTACGATGGAATGTTAATCACTATTATAATGAATGGTGACGTTTACGATGGAATGCTAATCACTAATAGGATACTATTATAATGAATGGTGAAGTTTACGATGGAATGTTAATCACTATTATAATGAATGGTGAAGTTTACGATGGAATGTTAATCACTATTAGGATACTATTATAATGAATGGTGACGTTTACGATGGAATGCTAATCACTATTAGGATACTATTATAATGAATGGTGACGTTTACGATGGAATGCTAATCACTATTATAATGAATGGTGAACGTTGCTACACTATTATAATGATGGAATGCTAATCACTA